CCTCGTAATTTTAAATGTAAAACATGGCATCCCTGTTAGATGCAGGTCTCAGCCTTGAAACACAGATTGAACTGGTGACAAGGAAACAAAGGGTTATGGGGGGGAGATGTAAAACCACTGCCCTGACCAGCCAGGCTAAGCAGCAAGAAACTGTCAGTGGTGTAGTTAACCGGTAAGTTTGAGTTTTAGATATTTCTTTTCTCTCTCCCCTCCATGAACAGGGTTCAAGTAGAGCATGAGAACTGAGAGCTGATTGCTCTGAGCAGAGAAAAAAAAAGTGTACATTTTGCTTATTGCAGTTCTTCAACATAGAAATATGAGAGCATATGTCGTCTACTAGCATCTCAACAATAAATATGGATTTTTCACGCATAAGATCACTCTATTTGCTTCTCTCACCCTACCAAAACTTATGATTCCTGTATTTTCAGTAATTTAAGTGATATCACTACGCACTTTCAGACAAAGGACAGACACAGCCACAACTGTCAAGGGGAAAAAAAACGAAGGATGATGCAAAGCCACATAAAGCAATGACTGATTTAATTTTCAACCCCAGTTAGGAGAAGCATCCAAAGACAACAGCTGTTTTCGTGCTTAGTTAGAGAACTCTGCTTTTCTTACAGACCTTCACTTCACCCCTCTCACCCATCTGAAGCTCACCTTCTTCCCCTTTCAGTTAAAGATATCCCTTTGGCTCCCCAAATTTCCATTTCTCCACTGCTCTCTTTTCCTTCTCCAAAGCTTTTCTTTCTTCACTGTCTTTACAAATTACCGTATTTTTCCCTTCGGTTTCTACGCTCCTTTAATTCTGAAGTGAGAGCAGAAAACAGAAAGAGTATCTGCACATTCAGGATCAGAAAAACACCTGAAGACTTGTAATATAACAGTGGCTTCTTTTGTTTGCCAAAGCTGATATCAGAATATTTTAAATTCTTAAAATTCTGACAGTAGCGCTGATATCAGGCACAAAAATCTCAGGGCTGAAAGCTACAAAAATACTTTGAGAAATTTCATAATGATTTTACTTCTCTTGTTCCTCATATGTGACAGGTCACGCTGGAAAATACACTGTGACTGCATCCACTCCCCGCGACAGTGTGCTTGCAGCAACAAACTCTTTGGCAGTACAGACACCATAGATTCACTTGCTTGCCATGTGACTAGTACGATGCCACATGTTCCCCCACAGCACCCACAAAGTAATTGCTTATGACTAGACTCCTGCACAGTACAGCAATTAAAAGCTCTCAGTTCAAAGCCTCCTTATTACCGCAACTCTGAACGAAAGTGCAAGTATAGTAATAAACTAATTTATCTCAATAAGAGGTAAAATGGATCAAAGCAGCTGAATCCAGTACTGTTAAAGTAACTGACAAGTGTTTATTTAATAGGAAACCTTGAAGCACAGTCCAGTTCACAATATTTATATTACTAGATGTTGATGAACAAGAAATAGGCAGGAAAAAAGAAATACAAGAACATTTTAGCTGTTATCTTCTCTGCTTACGTACAGATCATGTGTACAGTTAGTTACTACCAGTGAAGTACTTCCACTAAACCCACCTTCTAAGCACATTAAGCTTTCCTAAGGAAAATCGTAAGAAGGCATAAAGGAAGAGACATGTACAGGGAAACAATACAATTTCTTAAATTTCATGGACAAAATGGTGGCACCAGTCCAGTACTGAGTTCAGTGCTCAGTGAAATAATTCTCAATCTTATTTCATGCTAGAGGCTGACTGCTGGTTTCTCTGTTCCTCCTCTAGCAACCTACATCCTTCAAGTCAAGACTACAGTCAAGTCTTCTTAGCTGAACCCTTTTTATTATTAGCTCTACCAATTATAGATATGACCCTTCATGCAGCAAGTTATGGAGGACAGAATTGTGACTGTGGTACTTGCACTTCAGAGAAAGTATATTTTAAAAAACAAGGAAATGCACATAAGTTTAACTGTTATGGTTGCAAAGAAAGACTATTACAAAATGTTAGTTATTTGATAACAGAAATAAAAGAAAGATATTTTAGAAATGTAAGGGAAATTTCAGAAGCATTTGGTAAAGAAAAAAAAACACCAGGAGAAATTAAAAAAAAACACACACCAAAACCAGAAGAGAGACATGGGAATAGGGAATAATAGGAAAAAAAAAAAAAAAAAAAAAAGACAATGGCGAAAACAAAAATAATAGGAAAAAAAAAAAAAAAAAGAAAGCTTAGGTAGAAAACCAATAATCTGTATTTCAGCCATACTGAATTTTACAGAGTTTCAGGAATAAAAAACACACAGGGCCTTTCTCAGTATAGACGAAGAATCATCAGAGATGAGTACAATAGACAGATAGCTGGACACTAATGAAGAGTACAGAGACATTCCACTATTGACTCCCCTTCACCCCACATAGTAATTGTCTTCTTTGTAAGCAGTGTTTCTAGCATTCATCTCACCTCTGTCCATTATAATCTTATCCCTTCCTGTTCCTCTCTCTTGGCATTAGCATGAGCACACATAGCAATCTTAAAATCTAAACACTACTGACTAGAAAGAAAGTGGCTGGACTAGAAGCAGACTGGAGGATGGAGACATCAATTCAGAGACTTCGGTAAAAGATGAGGAGTCAGAATCACTGATGTTGCCTTATAGCATCAGTTTTGTTTTTACAATTATCAGCAAAACTCAAAGCAATAGAAGAGGAAGAAAGTGGTGTGAATAGAAAGCAAGGTGATATAGTCAGCAAATTTCAGTACAAAAGGTCAATTAGCAAAGCAGTACCTTCTGAACATGGAAAAGATCAATACTGAAGAATGGCCCAGACTTGGATGCAACAGACAGATGAGAGGGCAAGAACCTTATGCATTTAGCATACAAGCCATCAAGAGATACCCACAACATAGTGAGATAAAATCCAATCTCGTAAGGTAAGAGTCCACACTCTTATGTAGTCTTTTTTGCATAAACCACATACCACGCATAATGCACATAAACCGCATACCACACGGGGTATGCACCTGAAAGACTGTTCAAAAGTGTGTTTCAGCACAGAGTAATAGGTTACTGTTCTAGGAACACAAGCATACATCATATGAAGACCTGCAATTAATACAGTCCAGGTGCTGTGTTTGTCTCCTACACGAAGAGTTTTCCCTGCAGTGTTACTAGAACTGGGTATGTGATTAAACACAGAAACTGTAAAATGTAAGTCACTCTGGAAAGCTGTGATGCCTGAAGTTACTAGAAGTCCTGCTTGACGCAAATTCTGCAAATACTAGGGACAAGCTTTATGAAATACTACAAAACATACAATACTTATACTTCTCTTATGGAAACTTGAGAATCTATCATGCTGCATTTTTTGCCTTTATATTAAAATTGTAAAGCACTTTCTATTAATGCTTATGTTTAGGCTCAAATAAACTGCATCTAAATGAAGAATCATTCTTCTCCCTGAAGGGTTGTACACAACGGCAGCAGATCCTACTACAATGCGAAAAGTATCATCTTTACATTGATACCATACACTGACACAAATTACTTCAAAAGCACTGCATTTAATCACAGGCATCAGAGAGCTGGGGGGGCAAGTTGTTTGTTTTCACTGTAACATATCAAGCCACTGCACAGCCCTTCATAGACAGGACTAGCATAATCTTTGCTAAAAGCTCTCTCATCCAAATGAAAGCAAAGCTCGCTGCAGCAAGTTTGGCAGACTTCCCAATCCTTAGTACACAAGTGGTCCTCTTGATTTAAACAACAAAAACAATCATAACAGGCAAAGGAGCAACCCAATTACGCTGGGCATAGGCTCAGCAGGACACATGTAAACCTATCAGAAAACAAAGAAAGCCTGGTTGGAGGAGAAAAGAAGCAATTTCAGTGAAGCAATTTCATTTAGTTTCTTAGAAAGGTTATGCAGTCACAAATAAAACAAAGCTTTCATTCAACAATTATCATCTCAAGATCTTAAAACTGATTAATATATTTCCTATTTGCACTAAATTCCCATTGTGCTGATCCAATTATAAGGGTAAGAAATTAACAGAATTCTGTTGGAAACAACAAAAGCCACAGCCTTTGAATATATATTTGCTGATGTGTTTATGTCATTTCTATTAGTGATGGCTCTCTTCTTACTGATCTTCTGTTTCAAAAAGACAGACAAACATTTGCTTCACAAGAATAAAAGGAGTGACAGGAGTAAGGTGAGGAGGCTAAAAAAAAACCCCAAACTCCAAAGCTTTCTCCTTTATCCTATGCGGAGAAGTAATGAAAGATGGAAAAGAAATACATGAGTGTAAGCAAGTTGCAGAGCTTACATAGTCTCATTCTAGACATACTTGGCTACATATTTATGGCAGTTTATGTGTCTGGCCTCCCGCCTGCGTGATACAAATACATCTGCATTCAGTAATCCCCCTAGAGAGAGATCTCAGATCTGAAGAATCACCTTATTAGCCTTAAACAAGTCCAAGAATCTTTGTGGGCAACAACATTTTTGACAAGAAAGGATTTCTGAAATCGGATTTTAACCGTGTAACTTTAGTGAGCAGTATTATTCACAACCACAATTGTCTAAAACAAAAAATAATCACGCCTCCACATAAACATTTTTTTTACATGCACATTTAGTAACACTTTATTTTAACATGGTGCTATATCTTTATATGGCTAAATTCTTCATGGCCAAAATTCAACTGTTTACTGTACTGCCAAAAACAAAAAAATCACAATGTATACTTTTCCAGGGACTGCAGCAATGAACAGGTCCTTGTAGAAGATACAGTAGTAAAATTAATCCTTGTGTTAACTCTTACCATCCCCCTTCTCTTCTGGAAAAGTCTCAGCAGGCTTCTGTTGACACTAGTTTTCTTTCTCTGTTTATAATGAAATATTACTGTATTTCCCTACAATCCCTACAGAAACTATGTGGCAAGAAGGGAGATGCTGGCTAGGAAACCACATCGAAATGACAAAACTTACTTGAAAAGCAGACTCACCAATTGTCAGCTCTCACTTTCATGAAGACAAGCTGTTCGGAGCTTAGACTTTAGGGCTGCAGCGTGAAGCTGATGAGATGCTGTTTCTCTCACTAACATGTCAATTCTGGAACTTGCAAGTTGGTAGACATCCATAAAACTTTTAATCATGGCCTTTAAAAAGTAAAATAAATCATCAGTGCTAGGCAGGTTATACTTAAATGCCAAACAGAATACATCCAAATTCATTACAGAAGACCTAACTTTTATTAATCAGAGAAATCAAAGACAGGTTGGAAGCCAGGCAAAATTTCAGTCTCCAGACTTCAACATTAGAAAGGTCTAACATGGGATTTTGTATTCCTTCTACAATCTTAAACAGCATTTAAGAAAAGCAAATGACTGTGCACCCTAATTAGAAGGTGTTTTGATGAGCTGTCTTCAAACATCCACTACTGCATTCAGCAGCTGATACCATTTTTCATTGTTTTTAAATTCAAGACTCAGTGCAAGTTCAATTTCTGTTTATAAAGAATCACTACACAGTTTCAGGTAAAGGTTCACACTTTCAAATTCAGTCACAGAATCACAGAATGGTAGGGGTTGGAAGGGACCTCTGTGGGTCATCTAGTCCAACCCTCCTGCCGAAGCAGGGTCACCTACAGCAGGCTGCACA